CTTCAATACCACGACTGAGGTGCCCTTGAGCAAGGCACCGAACCCCCAACTGCTCCCCGGGCGCCGCAGCATAAATGGCTGCCCACTGCTCCGGGTGTGTGTTCACGGTGTGTGTGTGCACTTTGGATGGGTAAATGCAGAGCACTAATTCCGAGTATGGGTCTACTTACTTGGCCACATGTCACTTCACTTTTCACTTTATTAGGGATGCACCAATATTTATCGGCCGATTTTTCCTCAATTTACAACCATCAGCATATCGGCTATATAAGGAAAAAGGCCGATATAACAAACCGATGGTTTATTAATTAACTGCGTGAAGGCACTGAGCTATATAATGTCTGTTGCATAATCCTAGCGCTGCTGTCTGCACTCTAATGCAAATCAAATAACAAAAGACCGCACACTATTCTTGACTAAATAACTTTTGTAACTTTAATAAGTGTAGCGGACCTCATCTGAATGATGACTAAAACTTTACTGATGTTGTAAGTTTATTGCTTCCTTTTTCACTCCAAAAATATCACCATAAGAGCTAAACAAAACACAGCAGAGAAGTGCACATTAAACTCTCTCTCTCAGTTGCATTATCATCAACATACAGCGAATTACACAAAACAGTAAACAAATATATACAGATCTCATGCCTTTTCGGTGGGTGCTTAATAAACTGGCAAACTTTAAATCCGAAGAACTGCGTGCTTTCATTACCCATATAACGTTAGCTCCGACGTAGACTAGAAAACCCGTCAAAATAAGAGTCCTGCCTTAGTAAAGGAGATCTCAAACTTCTAAATAAATTAGAAGATTAATCATAATAAAGTCTGTTACAATAAAGAAGGCTTAATATGTATTTAATTTATACAGTGAAGTGTTATTTTACATTTGTTTACTTTATTTCTGTACCTGAAAACTGTTAAACCTACCTAAAAAGCACTGTTTATTTAATATGTATCTTTGTTCTGTTGTATTTATGTAGGCCTGCTGAATGTTAAATGGATCCAATCCAATTTTTTTAGTCGTTTCTTGAAGATGGTTAAGGACTGATTTGGGCAGGTAATTCCACCAGGAGGGAACAGTTAATGAAAAAGTCCGTAAAAGTGATTTTGTGCCTCTTTGAGATGGCACAATAATACGCCGTTCACTTGCAGAACGCAAGCTTCTAGAGGGTACATAACTCTGAAGTAATGAATTTATGTAAATGGGTGCAGAGCCAGTGGTGGTTTTGTAGGCAAACATTGTGTAATGATACCTATTTTAACATCACTTAGACCTGTGTACACTGGCGTGTGACGCTAGGGAGTTTCTCTCATTAATGAAGAAGTCACACTGCCAGTCATTTCAACACGCTATGAAATTCTGTCTAATTTCTCGTTGTGTTTATTTATTTTGCAGGTAAGATGAGTGATGTGGCATCACAGCTTATGTTTATAAAATGTTTATTTGTGTATTCCATGTGTTTGTTTGATGCATTTGTGTTTTATATTGTTACGTTCTCCCCAGTCTAGGGTTGGGGATACCGAACAAGAAATTTAAAATGAAGATAATTAAGCAACAATACCCGCCCCTCTCCTGTCCCAGCTCACACACAGAAACACAACGGAGCGAGAGTAAATCAAATAATAAGCTTTTAATTCACAAAGTATCATATAACAGGAAGCGTGAATCTTCAGGAGGGGTCAAGGCCAAAATAACAAACAAAAGAAGAACTAACTAAAACATTAATTAGACAGTAACTTACCTAACAAATCAAAACCCAAACAAAATACAATACTCTCCCCTTACTCCCTAGCTGTCAATAAACAGGAGATAACAAGGGATCATAAAGTAAATGGCAACCTCCTCCCTACTGCTACCAAAACAAACACAAATTAATAACACCGGAACAAAAGACTCTCACTCAGAATGGCAGCAACCCGTCAGCTATCACAATACCACAGGTGCGTTGAATGTCTGGGGCAGGAGACGGTGAGCAGTAACGGCAACGACCAACACCGCAGAGCTCAACGCGCTGCTCTCCACACACGCTCTCTCCCTGCTCTGCTCACGCCCAATGCGTACTAGGGATGGGCGTATCGATAAACAAAAAATATCGATACTAAGGTGCGTTTTATTTACCAGTGGTTTTGTTTATTTAACAAAAATAATAATAATAATAATGCGTACAATATGCATTGAATTGGACGAATAACCTTAGTTAGCGAGTAATTGTGTAGGATATAACTATTTTCCTGCTCATCTGAACACACGCAAATGTTGCAAGTCAGAACCAATCAATCACAGAGAGCATTCACTCACTGCTGACAGTGCATTCAAACAGGGCTGCGTTTCCCAAAAGTATCATAAGAAAGCATTAAAGCTTTTGGGAACAGCAGTCCTGAACAATGCTTATCAGAGGACAGAAAAAAA